TCACACCTGGGCTCCCTCCAGCGCCAGCGGCGCAGCAGCAGCGCCCTGCTGCCTGTCACCAGCACCTGGGGACATGGGGACAGCCCTAACCATGGATAACAGTGCCCTGCTGCCTGTCACCAGCACCTGGGGACACGGGGACAGCCCTAACCATGGATAACAGCGCCCTGCTGCCTGTCACCAGCACCTGGGGACATGGGGACAGCCTGAGACACAGGTAACAGCACCTGGGGACACGGGGACAGCCTGAGACACAGGTAACAGCACCTGGGGACACGGGGACAGCCTGAGACACGGATAACAGCGCCCTGCTGCCTGTCACCAGCACCTGGGGACATGGGGACAGCCTGAGCCATGGATAACAGCGCCCTGCTGCCTGTCACCAGCACCTGGGGACACGGGGACAGCCTGAGACACAGGTAACAGCACCTGGGGACATGGGGACAGCCTGAGCCATGGGTAACAGCGCCCTGCTGCCTGTCACCAGCACCTGGGGACACGGGGACAGCCTGAGACACAGGTAACAGCGCCCTGCTGCCTGTCACCAGCACCTGGGGACATGGGGACAGCCCTAACCATGGAGAACAGTGCCCTGCTGCCTGTCACCAGCACCTGGGGACATGGGGACAGCCTGAGACACAGGTAACAGCATCCTGCTGCCTGTCACCAGCACCTGGGGACACGGGGACAGCCCTAACCATGGATAACAGTGCCCTGCTGCCTGTCACCAGCACCTGGGGACACGGAGACAAGGGACAGCCTGAGCACAGGCTGGGTTTGGGCTCCTGTCAGTGCCACACAGCACAGGGAGCTGCTGGGGGAGCTCAGGCTCTGGGCAGGTGTGAGTGTGAGCCACAGGTGTGAGTGTGAGCCAGGGCTCTGAGTGTGACCCATGGCCCCCAGGGGACCTCAGGAAGCACACAGGCCATGGAATGGAACCATGGAAGGGATGCACAAGGATCATCGAGTCCAAGCCCTGGCCCTGCAAGGACACCCCAAAATTCCCCCCATTCCTGGCTCAGCCTGTCCCAGGCTGTTCACTGCCCCCAGCACAAACCCACCTCGTCATCAGGGCTCAGCACGAACGCTGTGACATCCTCTTCCTCATCCTGGGAAAACAGAGGGGAAATGCCACAGCTGAACCACCCCTGCAGGGATCTCCGAGCTCCCTTCTCCAAGGGCTCTGCTGATCACCCCAAACCTGTGTTTGGTTCATTCCCCCCTCCCTGCGCTCCTCACTCCTGGGACTTTTGTATCCACAGCGAGAAAACCCCCCGGGCTCCTCGCAAGCCGCCCAGGAGAGGCGGATCGCGGTCACCTGCTGGAGGCTGTGCAGCAGCGCTCCCGTTTCCACATCGATCACGTTGACTTTGCTCCCGCAGGGGCAGAACATGAACTTCCCATCCCGGCTGACCTGGAGAAAGGGATGGGGAACGTTAGAGCCGAGAGGTGCGACATTCCCAGCTGTCCCTCCAGAGCCGGGGTTACCTGGATTCGCCCTCCTTTGTAGAACGGCTCGATCTTGCGCGTCGCGGCATAGCTGGAAGGGAAAGAGACGCGCCGGGAGGCTCCGTTAAAGCGGAGCGGTGGCGGCCCGGGGGCTCCGGTCCCAGCCCAGCCCGACCCAGCCCCTCGCTCGCCCTCGCAGCCCCTGCCCGGTCCCGCGGGTCACTCACTTGCTCTTGAAGCGCACGGGAGCGGCGGCGGCCGGGTCCGTGTCCGCCATGGCCGCGGCCCACGTGCTTCCGGTCACCACTTCCGGGAAGTAAGGGAACACTTCCGGCCCCTCAGTGACGTAAGCGGGGCGCCACCGGCACCACGTGGAGAGCGCTCCGGAGAGCGGGACAAGAATTCCCCGTTCCTCTGGGACATCGGCCGCAGCCCGGCCCCGCAGAACGGGATAAGAATTCCCGGTTCCCCCGAGACAGTGACCACAGCCCGGCCCCGCAGAACGGGATAAGAATTCCCCGTTCCCCCGGGACAGCGGCCACAGCCCGGCCCCTGCGCTGCATTTCCCCGCCATCCGGAGCGTTCTCCAGCACAACCGCCCCTCCCCGCCCCAAGGAGCGCAAAGTTGAACTCCCTAACCACAGCGTAAAGTAGAACCTTGGACAATTAGAATGAAGAGAGACGCTCCATCTTTTAATCAATTCATCTTTTATTGCACATCAAAATACAAAACCGAATCGTTCCCCGCAGTAACCCCCGTGTCGCCGTCCATCACGGCAGCCCCGTGCTCTTCACAGCTCCTCCGGAGACGGGATCGCCGTGAAGCGCCAGCCGAGCCCGTGGCGGGGCCGCGCTCCCAGCGCCCAGGAACGGCACCTGGAACAGGGAACAAACCTCAGACACAGCCCCACAGCCCCGCGGTGCCGGTACCGCCGGGCACGGCGCTTATGGGAACATGGGTTTCATTCCCCACACACAGCCGTGGGCAATAAGCTTAATGTTCCCGATGCTCTGGGCGCCGTTATCTCACCCGGGGCCACCGCAGACCCCGAATGATTTTCAGACCGCGCCGGGCTCTACCGCGGCCTCCGGAGCGCCT